GAGGTGAGTGATGTTATGAGTGAGTGATGTTATGAGTGAGTGATGTTGGAGGTGAGTGATGTTGGAGGTGAGTGATGTTATGAGTGAGTGATGTTATGAGAGAGTGATGTTATGAGTGAGTGATGTTGGAGGTGAGTGATGTTACGAGTGAGTGATGTTGGAGGTGAGTGATGTTGGAGGTGAGTGATGTTATGGGTGAGTGATGTTATGAGTGAGTGATGTTATGAGTGAGTGATGTTGGAGGTGAGTGATGTTATGAGTGAGTGATGTTATGAGTGAGTGATGTTGGAGGTGAGTGATGTTGGAGGTGAGTGATGTTACGAGTGAGTGTTGTTGGAGGTGAGTGATGTTACGAGTGAGTGTTGTTGGAGGTGAGTGTTGTTGGAGGTGAGTGATGTTGGAGGTGAGTGATGTCGCAGGTGAGTGATGTTGGAGGTGAGTGATGTTATGAGTGAGTGATGTTGGAGGTGAGTGATGTTATGGGTGAGTGATGTTGGAGGTGAATGATGTTATGGGTGAGTGATGTTACGAGTGAGTGATGTTGGAGGTGAGTGATGTTGGAGGTGAGTGATGTTATGAGTGAGTGATGTTATGAGTGAGTGATGTTATGAGTGAGTGATGTTATGAGTGAGTGATGTTGGAGGTGAGTGATGTTGGAGGTGAGTGATGTTATGAGTGAGTGATGTTGGAGGTGAGTGATGTTGGAGGTGAGTGATGTTGGAGGTGACTGATGTTATGAGTGAGTGATCTTGGAGGTGAGTGATGTTATGAGTGAGTGATGTTATGAGTGAGTGATGTTGGAGGTGAGTGATGTTGGAGGTGAGTGATGTTATGAGTGAGTGATGTTATGAGAGAGTGATGTTATGAGAGAGTGATGTTATGAGTGAGTGATGTTGGAGGTGAGTGATGTTACGAGTGAGTGATGTTGGAGGTGAGTGATGTTGGAGGTGAGTGATGTTATGGGTGAGTGATGTTATGAGTGAGTGATGTTATGAGTGATGTTACGAGTGAGTGATGTTGGAGGTGAGTGATGTTGGAGGTGAGTGATGTTATGGGTGAGTGATGTTATGAGTGAGTGATTTTATGAGTGAGTGATGTTGGAGGTGAGTGATGTTACGAGTGAGTGATGTTGGAGGTGAGTGATGTTGGAGGTGAGTGATGTTATGAGTGAGTGATCTTGGAGGTGAGTGATGTTATGAGTGAGTGATGTTATGAGTGAGTGATGTTGGAGGTGAGTGATGTTGGAGGTGAGTGATGTTACGAGTGAGTGTTGTTGGAGGTGAGTGTTGTTGGAGGTGAGTGATGTTGGAGGTGAGTGATGTCGCAGGTGAGTGATGTTGGAGGTGAGTGATGTTATGAGTGAGTGATGTTGGAGGTGAGTGATGTTATGGGTGAGTGATGTTGGAGGTGAATGATGTTATGGGTGAGTGATGTTACGAGTGAGTGATGTTGGAGGTGAGTGATGTTATGAGTGATGTTATGAGTGAGTGATGTTGGAGGTGAGTGAAGTTGGAGGTGAGTGATGTTGGAGGTGAGTGATGTTGGAGGTGAGTGATGTTATGGGTGAGTGATGTTACGAGTGAGTGATGTTATGAGTGAGTGATGTTATGAGTGAGTGATGTTGGAGGTGAGTGATGTTATGAGTGAGTGGTGTTATGAGTGATGTAACGAGTGAGTGATGTTGGAGGTGAGTGATGTTATGAGTGAGTGATGTTATGAGTGAGTGATGTTATGAGTGAGTGATGTTATGAGTGAGTGATGTTGGAGGTGAGTGATGTTGGAGGTGAGTGATGTTATGAGTGAGTGATGTTATGAGTGAGTGATGTTGGAGGTGAGTGATGTTATGAGTGAGTGATGTTGGAGGTGAGTGATGTTATGAGTGAGTGATGTTATGAGTGAGTGATGTTGGAGGTGAGTGATGTTATGAGTGAGTGATGTTATGAGTGAGTGATGTTATGAGTGAGTGATGTTGGAGGTGAGTGATGTTAAGAGTGATGTTGGAGGTGAGTGATGTTATGAGTGAGTGATGTTGGAGGTGAGTGATGTTATGAGTGAGTGATGTTATGAGTGAGTGATGTTGGAGGTGAGTGATGTTACAGATGAGTGTCATCTGTCCACCCAGCAGTGTAAATGGATTCACTGTAGTCGAATCGATTCGCAGTGTGTGTGTGGTGGGGTAGAGTGTGGGTACAACGACCACGGTCGATCGCATCGCGCGGCGCTTTCAGATGCGTTTCTGCGGCCGTCTGGAACGCTCTCCCTTCCGATATGAGGAAGCCACTGGGAGCACTTTTATATATGGATTGAAAACTCATTTCATTATCATTAGACCTCCTTTGCCAGTACCAACATGTAATAACGGGGTTTTCCCCTTTTTTCTGGCAACAAAACTGAAACCTTTTTTTATACAAGGATTCATGTCACTGCATTAACCACAATACCTGCAGTCAAAATGCAAACAGAAAACATACTATGATAATATATACATTGTCCTTGAAACTGATTGGTCCACACCAAGGGACTGCTTTCTTTTGAGCCTCGACCCAATTGGTGCTCGACCAGATGACGCCAATAATATGAAAACTCATTTCCGTAGAACTCCTTTCTGTGTCGTTTGTTGTCCTTCCGCCGCACTCCTGATTATCACGGTTGGCAAGGTACGGTGCGAAAGAAGTTCCACTATTCAGTACATACACCCCACCTCTTACAAGACGCCAGAGCACCCGCCAGCAGGTGCGCGACCGAGCACTTGCAGGAGCTGCGCCTGTTGACCTTTCATCCTTCACAATCGGAATATTTTATTCATATCGGAGGAATCCGATGAGCTGTAAAGCTCTTTAACACAGATGCCCAGTAGAGGCACGGGGTCAGAACGTTACAACAATATATAAAACACGATGGGAGTGCAAACGTACAATGCAAACAAATCACCCAAAGACATACGAATAATTAAAAGCATCCACATTTCTACCCAGGCAGGCATTAACTTATTTTTCAGAAGCGACCTGGCTACCATAAGTGATAGCTCGACAAAGTGGCTCATTTGGACATTTAATGGAACTGTGCCACGCGGTGACTTGGACCACCGTGCTCTTCGTACGTTCGCCGCTGCCCTAGCGGGCGAAATCATTGAGCCGACATCGCCACCGGGAACGCTCGGGAACCCGTGTCTCACCGTGTCTCACCGCGTCTCACCGTGTCTCACCGTGCCTCACCGTGCCTCACCGCGTCTCACCGTGTCTCACCGTGTCTCACCGTGTCTCACCGCGTCTCACCGTGTCTCGCCGTGTCTCACCATGTCTCACCGTGTCTCACCGTGCCTCACCGTGTCTCACCGTGCCTCACCGTGTCTCACCGTGTCTCACCGTGTCTCGCCGTGTCTCACCGTGTCTCACCGTGCCTCACCGTGTCTCGCCATGTCTCACCGTGTCTCACCGTGCCTCACCGTGTCTCACCGTGCTTCACCGTGTCTCGCCGTGTCTCACCGTGTCTCACCGTGTCTCACCGTGTCTCACCGTGCCTCACCGTGCCTCACCGTGCCTCACCGTGTCTCACCGTGTCTCGCCGCGTCTCGCCGCGTCTCGCCGTGTCTCACCGTGCCTCACCGTGTCTCACCGTGCCTCACCGCGTCTCACCGCGTCTCACCGTGTCTCACCGTGCCTCACCGTGTCTCACCGATTTTCGGAACCGGCTTCCGAAAACTGTTTTTTTTCTTCCGGTTTACTGTTCAGACAACAGGTCACTCACAGGCACCACCACGTGATATAACCCCCTCTACTTGGGACCGAAACAGAATTCCTCTACACTTCTGGCTGTCGCCTGATGAGGCTGGTTGTAATTACCGGCGAAACGTCGCACTCCAATTGTAAATGTTGTTGTGCGTTCACTCTCCCAAACACACCGGGGTGCTGAACTAGTCACTAATTGGCGCGTTTTATTTACATGACAGACCTCAGTAATTGGCTGTGTCGGGTTGTGGTGGTTTTAACGACGCATTTACAATTACCCGACCTAACCCCCCCCCCCCAAAAAAACAACAACTCCATTATGAAATATTGGTCGCGAAAGCCTCCTACGTACTCATTGTTTTTTTCGGTAAAGTCACGTATGTAGAAATACCGTAAAATTATATTAAAATAAATCAATCACGACGTTTCGACCGCAACACAAGCGATCTTCATCCGGTGTAAAAAACAAACAGCGAGGGAGCACACAGGGTGACATCAACGCAACACAGAGAGAGCGTTAAACTGCACGGAGGTAAATACAACAAGAAGATGAGAGACGAGAATTCAACAAACCTAAGAAAAAATGTACGTGATGCAAAACCAGTCAGGCCAACGACACAGTTAGACGCTTGCCTGGCGGACCACGAATTTCAGAAGAGTGCTAAATTTCGTGTTCATCCTCTGGGTTGAACATACCAGCATAGACAGAGTGAACAAATACGAGGTACAAGTCAGCAGAAATACATGTACAGGGACACCAAGAGGCAGGGAGAGGAAAGACGGACGGAGAAAGGAGAGAGGAACAGACAGAGGCCTTAAATAAAAAAGTAGAGGTGGGGGGTAAGGGCCGAAGAGAGCAAGGTGGCACGGCAGCATAGGAGAGGGGAGGGGTAGGAGAAGGCAAGGGGTACAATACGTTTCAAGGTGGCACGGCAGCATAGGTGGGGGGAGTAGAAGGCAAGGGGTACAATACGTTTAGGACAGGACTGTAAAGGTAACTTCCCCGTAGAAGCGCGTTAATAAAGAATTAAAGCTTTCGTGACCGCAAAAATTGCTCGTTGTTTTTTTTTCGGTAAAGTCACGTATGTATAAATACCATTAAATTATACCAAAATAAATCTACATACGTGACTTTGCCGAAAAAAAAACAATGAGTCATTTATGCGGTCACAAAATGCTTGAATTCTTTATCCTCCTACGTGTTGATCTTATTTTGAACTCTTCCCCACCCCCTACCCCATCCCCCCCCCCCCCGCCACCCCCACCCACCAGGTGTGCATGGGCCCTCGGACTCTCTGGGGCCCGGGGGCCCCGGGGCCGGCGTGCTGGTGGGCGGCGTGGTGGCCACGTGCGCCATCTGCGGCGACCGCGCCACGGGGAAGCACTACGGCGCCTCCAGCTGCGACGGCTGCAAGGGCTTCTTCCGGCGCAGCGTTCGCAAGAACCACATCTACACCTGCAGGTGCGGCGGCGGCGGCGGCGGCGGGGGCGGCGCTGGCACCCGCAGTGCCAGCGCCGCACTCGACTGCAGTTTCGGTATTGCGCTGCCTGTCGTGGTAAAAGTAGTGCACCACCTGTAGCAGCGCAACAGCTGTAGTGCACCACCTGTAGCAGCGTGACAGCTGCAGTAGACCACCTGTAGCAGCGTGACACCTGTAGTGCACCACCTGTAGCAGCGTGAGAGCTGCAGTAGACCATCCGTAGCAGCGTGACACCTGCAGTGCACCACCTGTAGCAGCGTGACAGCTGCAGTAGACCACCTGTAGTCCACCACCTGTAGTGCACCACCTGTAGTGCACCACTTGTAGTGCACCACCTGTAGCAGCGTGACACCTGTAGTAGACCACCTGTAGCAGCGTGACACCTGCAGTGCAACACCTGTAGCAGTGCACCACCTGTACCAGTGCACCACCTGTAGCAGCGTGACACCTGTAGTGCAACACCTGTAGCAGTGCACCACCTGTACCAGTGCACCACCTGTAGCAGCGTGACACCTGTAGTGCACCACCTGTAGCAGTGCACCACCTGTACCAGTGCACCACCTGTAGCAGCGTGACACCTGCAGTGCAACACCTGTAGCAGTGCACCACCTGTACCAGTGCACCACCTGTAGCAGCGTGACACCTGCAGTGCAACACCTGTACCAGTGCACCACCTGTAGCAGCGTGACACGTGTAGTGCACCACCTGTAGCAGTGTACCACCTGTACCAGTGCACCACCTGTAGTGCACCACCTGTAGTGCAACACCTGTACCAGTGCACCACCTGTAGTGCACCACCTGTAGTGCAACACCTGTACCAGTGCACCACCTGTAGTGCACCACCTGTGGTGCACCACCTGTACCAGTTTACCACCTGTAGTGCACCACCTGTAGTGCACCACCTGTAGCAGCGTTACACCTGTAGTGCAACACCTGTAGTGCACCACCTGTACCAGTGCACCACCTGAAGTGCACCACCTGTAGTGCACCACCTGTAGCAGTGCACCACCTGTACCAGTGCACCACCTGTAGTGCACCACCTGTAGTGCAACACCTGTAGCAGTGCACCACCTGTAGCAGTGCACCACCTGTAGCAGTGCACCACCTGTAGCAGTGCACCACTGCCTGCAGCATTGATTCAAACATAGCCTGACTCTGCTGATGAGACACCGGTCCGGAACTTGCTTGTGTTCAACCAATGCTGCTGAAGTACAAAATCACTCGCAGACGGAAGAAGGGCCGTGCGGGTGATGAGATGGGCGCTCGCGCGTGCACACGTGTCCACCTGTATGTCCACCTGTGTGTCCACCTGTGTGTTCACCTGTGTGTCCACCTGTGTCTTCACCTGTGTGTCCACCTGCGTGTCCACCTGTGTGTCCACTTGCGTGTCCACCTGTGTGTTCACCTGTGTCTTCACCTGTGTGTCCACCTGTGTCTTCACCTGTGTGTCCACCTGCGTGTTCACCTGTGTGTCCACCTGCGTGTCCACCTGTGTGTCCACCTGTGTGTTCACCTGTGTGTCTACCTGCGTGTTCACCTGTGTGTTCACCGCCTCCCTCCCTCCCTCTCGGCCGAGCGCCCCGGCGCTTCGTGCGTGCGGCCTCTGCCAAAACCCAGGAGGCGTCGCCGACGACGTGGGATGTCGATTTTACGACCCCCCCCCCCCCGCTGCTATCTCCGCTTTACGGCCCCGATAGTGGCAGCCAAGGTCGCCCCGTGCGTAACCAACGCTCACCTGCAGCGGGGGAGTGGGGGCGGGCGATGGGGCGGCTAAATGAGTTACCCATTAACCTCTAGCGCAAACCGCAAACCCTCCCAAGCAAGCCCCATCACCCCACACTAATCCCAGATCCCTCCCCCCACCCCCCGCCCGGCCACGCGGCCAAAGCCCGGCGCAGGCGGTGAGCGAGGATCGTGCCGGGGAACCAAAGTCGCTCCGATCGTCCCAGAATGGCTCGCTCTGAACACCACTGCCACTGCCACCCCCATCGCACCCTCCCTGCCTCTCCAGCCGACGGCGTCTCTCTGGCTGAACCGACCACTCGTTGTTATTTGTTGTGATCTTTTGACGACCCCAGGAGAAAATAAACCAGGACGGGTGGTAAGCCTGGCCATGTCAAACGCAGTCAAGCTAACCTAACCGTAACCCTAGCCGTACCACACCCGGTCTAGCTAACCTAACCGTAACCCTAGCCGTACCACACCCGGTCAAGCTAGCCTAAACATAACCCTAGCCGTACCACACCTGGTCAAGCTAGCCTAAACATAACCATAGCCATACCACACCCGGTCAAGCTAACCTAACCATAACCCTAGCCATACCACATCCGGTCTAGCTAGCCTAAACATAACCATAGCCATACCACACCCGGTCAAGCTAGCCTAACCTTAACCCTAGCCATACCACACCCGGTCAAGCTAGCCTAAACATAACCATAGCCATACCAAAACCGGGCTAGCTAGCCTAAACATAACCATAGCCATACCACACCCAGTCAAGCTATCCTAAACATAACCCTAGCCGTACCACACCCGGTCTAGCTAGCCTAAACATAACCATAGCCATACCACACCCGGTCAAGCTAACCTAAACATAACCATAGCCGTACCACACCCGGTCTAGCTAGCCTAAACATAACCATAGCCATACGACACCCGGTCAAGCTATCCTAACCATAACCCTCGCCGTACCACACCTGGTCAAACTACCCTAACCATAACCATAGCCGTACCACACCCGATCAAGCTATCCTAACCATAACCCTCGCCGTACCACAACGTGGTATTGAGTACATTTTTTTGTCAAATTACCTTTGACCCGCTCCCCTGGATGACGACGACCTCTGACCCCCAGGTTCAACCGGCAGTGCGTGGTGGACAAGGACAAACGCAACCAGTGCCGCTACTGCCGCCTGCGCAAGTGCTTCCGTGCGGGGATGAAGAAGGAGGGTGAGGGGAGGGAATCAGATGGCAAAGCCGTTAATCCCAAAGGAAATCCGGTCAACACCCAAAAGGGAATCCCTATTAAAAGCGAGAGAAAATTTAATTCGTAACCCATGGGAAAATATCTCATTAAAGCTCAGTGGTAATTCTGTAATAAGCCGACAAAATTCCATTTAAACACAGAGAAGGTTAAATTTTAACCCCATTAAAAATCTAAATTGAACCACAAAAAATCCCATACAAAAATCCATTAAATCAGGAATAGCCCCATTAAGAATAGATATAAATTTCCAGTAAAATACATTAAACACATAACCCAGAGAAACTCCATTAAACTCACAGATAATCCTAATATCCAGTGAAATCCCATCAAAGCCCAGTGAAGTTTCCATTAAATCCCATAAAAACTCCCATTATAACCCGTAAAAAATACCATTAAAATCCAGATAAAATCCCATTAGACCAATTAAAACCCAGACAAACCCCATTAGACCTATAAAACCCCATTAAACCCCAGAGAACCGCTCCTCCCCCCCATTAAAATTCAGACGTACCACACCTGGGACAGCTAACCTGACCCACAATCCTCGGCCTGCTGCTCTTCGCACCAACTTGTGTCCTGCCCTGGGTGTCAGTGAAGCCGAGTGGTGTTGACGATCTTGTGCTGCACCCCCAAAATCATCTCACCGCCACCCCCTACTCCCCACTGTCCCCACCTCCCCCAAACCCCTCATTCCCCCCTCAAGCAGCCGTGCAGAATGAGAGAGATCGGATCGCCCTGCGGAGACCGAGCTACGAGGAGGTGGGGTCGCTCTCAATCAGCAGCCTCGTGCAGGCCGAGGCCCTCTCCAGACAGGTGCCCTCACTGTAACGTGACGCCGTCACTCTAACATGGCGGTCTCACTCTAACATGGCGGCCTCACTCTAACATGGTGGCCGTCACTCTAACACAGTGGTTCTTAACCTTGTTGGAGGTACCGAACCCCACCAGTTTCATATGCGCATTCACCGAACCCCTCTTTAGTGAAAAATAAAATGTGATTTTTTTTCAAATTCAAGACATAGATATGTTTTTTACTGGTACACAAAATGAGCCGTGCATGAACATTACCTTGTTCAAAGAATAAAACCAACACAATGCATAAACTCACAACAAATTACATACCTGGAAATCAATGTGACTTCTGCTGTTGCCTTTGAGAGATCAGTTCAGATATGCGTGGCTTCACCTTGGCAAGTGCCACTCTCATGTCATTTTCACAGCAAAGTCTGTTCCTTTTCTTCGTTTTTATGTCCAGCATCCTCGAAAAGGATTGCTCACAAAGATATGTTGTAACAAATGGTATAAAAAAATCCAGGGCTTTCTTAGCAATAACTGGATACTTGTTCATTTGTCGACACCAAAACGTTGAGAGCGTTGTTGTTCTGAAGAGTTGCTGTTGAACCTGGCTCTGCTGAATTTCAATGATTTCGTCGAGGAATTCATCATTGACATCTGCTGTTTCAACAGCAAACGTGAACGGCTGTCTCACCAATGCTGGATATGACTCTCTTGTAGGGAAATATCCGTCGAGAGACTTTGCAAGCTCATCTAAGTGCGTGGCAATTGTTTGCTTCAGTTCCGTGGATACAGAAATATCTCCGATTCCAGACACATCTTCGATCTTACTTGCACAGTCGTCCAGAAGCGGGAAGTTTGCGAAGTTATTGTTCTCTGTTCGTCGTTTCCATAACGGTAGCTTTTTTTGAAAAGCCTTCAGGTGTTCTTCCGCTTCCATGATATTGACTCCACCACCCTGCATCTGCTGATTGAGATGATTGAGAGCTGCGAATATATCAGCCATGTACGCTAAAATGAGAATGAACTCAGGATTTTTGAAGCAATCTGCATGGCAGTGTTGGTGCTCTTGCAAAAACAGGGCTAATTCCACACGCATGGCAAAAACACGATTCAGCACCTGTCCCCGGGATAACCACCGAATATTAGAATGGAGCAGAAGTACCTCAAATTCAGAGCCCATTTCTTTACACTGCTCACTGAAGATGCGGTGCCTCAGAGCACTTTTTCGCACATAGTTCACACATTCCACCACAGTTTTTAATACTTCTGTCATTTTTGGAGGTAAGGTTTTTGTTGCCAACGCATGCCTGTGCAGAATACAATGCGTCACAATGATGTGTGGTGCATCGGCCTTTACTAGCGCACCAAAACCAGACTTTCTTCCCAGCATGACTGGAGCTCCGTCCGTACAAACTGCAGAAACCATATCCCATGAAAGATTGTTGTCTCTGAAGAAGTCATCCACAAGCTTCTTCACATCGGCTGCCTTCGTTGTTGTTGTAAGAGACTTACAAAATAAAAACTCTTCCTTTATCATGTTGTCTTTCACATAGCGTACAAAAACAGCAAGCTGGCTTAGATCAGAAACGTCTGTGGTTTCGTCGAGTTGAAGGCTGAATTTTGCCGGGCTTGAAATCAGATCCGCGACTACTTGAGCCAAGATGTCTTTACTCATGTCTTCTATTCTGTCACTGACGGTGTCATTTGAAAGGGGAATTTGGGATAATTTACCTTCGGCCGCTGTTCCGAGTATCAGATTCGCCATCTTTAATGCAGCTGGTTTCACAAGTGTTTCACCAATGGTGTGTGGCTTGACCTGCTTTGCGATCAGGTAAGCAACTTCGTACGATGCTGTCAGGATCGGTTTGTTAACAGGTACAAATCCAAGAGCAGGCAGAGTGGCCCTTTCATCGAATCTGGCTCTCTTCACCCTGAATTCAGCAAGTGTTGTGTTCTTGTATTCCCCGTCTCCATGCAGCTTCAAGAAGTGTTCCTTTAGTTTTGCCGGTGCAAGACTAGAGTTGCTCAACTTGGCGTTGCAAATCATGCAGATAGGATGCTCACTCCCATCACGTTCCGTGATACATGAGAATCCATGTTGTACATATTCGTCCGACCACTTTCTTCTTTTGCCCGACATAGTTAGTATGGATAAAATATTAAAGAAATCACACGACGTACGACAACAGTCAAACGTTGACTACTGAGTACGCACTAAATTCCCCGCAGCGCTGATTGGCCAAGCAGTGTAGCATGATCATCTGCAGCCAGTGATGGCCAAGCGGGCCGTGTGTGTCATCACAAATTTACACAATAATTCAAGTGTGTCCGGACCTCCGTGGCGGGGGCTCTGCCAAACCCCTGAGATCGACTCACCGAACCCTTGGGGTTCGATCGAACCCAGGTTAAGAACCACTGCTCTAACATGACGCCGTCACTCTAACATGGTGCCCTCACTCTAACATGGCGGCCTCACTCTAACGTGACGGCCTCACTCTAACATGGCGGCCTCACTCTAACATGGTGGCCGTCACTCTAACATGACGCCGTCACTCTAACATGGTGGCCTCACTCTAACGTGACGCCGTCACTCTAACATGACGCCCTCACTCTAACGTGGCTCCCTCACTCTAACGTGACGCCCTCACTCTAACGTGACTCCCTCACTCTAACATGACGCCGTCACTCTAACATGACGCCGTCACTCTAACGTGAGGCCCTCACTCTAACATGGTGGCCTCACTCTAACGTGACGCCGTCACTCTAACATGGTGGCCTCACTCTAACATGACGCCGTCACTCTAACATGGTGGCCTCACTCTAACATGGTGGCCTCACTCTAACATGACTCCCTCACTCTAACGTGACGCCCTCACTCTAACGTGACTCTCTCACTCTAACATGGTGGCCTCACTCTAACATGGTGGCCTCACTCTAACATGGTGGCCTCACTCTAACATGGTGGCCTCACTCTAACGTGACTCCCTCACTCTAACGTGACGCCCTCACTCTGACATGGCGGCCTCACTCTAACGTGGCGGCCTCACTCTAACGTGACGCCCTCACTCTAACGTGAAGCCCTCACTCTGACATGGCGGCCTCACTCTGACATGGCGCCCTCACTCTAACATGGCGGCCTCACTCTAACATGGCGGCCTCACTCTAACGTGACACCCTCACTCTAACGTGACTCCCTCACTCTAACGTGAAGCCCTCACTCTAACGTGACGCCCTCACTCTAACGTGAAGCCCTCACTCTGACATGGCGCCCTCACTCTAACGTGACACCCTCACTCTAACGTGACTCCCTCACTCTGACATGGCGCCCTCACTCTAACGTGACGCCCTCACTCTAACGTGACGCCCTCACTCTCACGTGACGCCCTCACTCTATCGTGACTCCCTCACTCTAACGTGGTGGCCTCACTCTAACATGGCTCCCTCACTCTAACGTGGCTCCCTCACTCTAACGTGGCTCCCGCAGTCTTTACGATGACGCTCTCACCCTAATGTGGCGCCCTCACCCTCACTGATGTGGCGATTTCACCTTCGCGAGCACTTGCCCCTGAAGTCCGTTCGGGCGATACAGTAGAATACAGGTTTCGAATTTAAAGTTCTTGTATTGGCCTTCAGGGCCATGAGAGGGCGTCCGTGGACCCATTATATCCCGGAGATCTTCTGAAACCGTACGCTGCCCCTGACCGGCAACTTCGATCCACCGAATCCGGGCACCCCGAGTATGCCGAGGACAAATCTGCATTCAGTGGGTGATGATAGAGCTTTCAGGAGTCAGGGTGCCTCGCTTTGTGGGATGTCTTGCCCCAGTCTGTTAGGGATGCTCCGTCAGTCGAGCTTTTGAAGGTCTCGCCTGAAAACACATTTATTTTCTCCTGCATATCGGTCCGTGCGGGGTTGTTTTATCTCGCTGTTTTAATGTTAAGGTTTTTTTTGTTTTGTTGTGGGGCCTTGCGCGAACGAGTTTTTTCTCACTTCACCTCACACGTGGGGTGGGGGGTGTTCTTTGTCTCTGTGCGCATAGATCACGGGGGCCAGGGAAGTGGGGGGCTCGGGGCCGATGGGGGATGGTGGGGGCCCCATACGCAAGCTGGCCGGGGTGCAGGACGTGTGCGAGTCGATGAAGCAGCAGCTGCTGGTGCTGGTCGAGTGGGCCAAGTACATCCCGGCCTTCTGTGACCTGCCCCTAGACGACCAGGCACGGCGGGGACGGGAATCCTCCTCACCAATCGCGCGACTCGCATTCCTCACCAGTCACGTGACTCGCCCTCCTCATAAGTCACGTGACTCGCCCTCCTCACAAGTCACGTGACTCACCCTCCTCATAAATCAAGTTACTCGCCCTCCTCATAAGTCACATGACTCACCCTCCTCACCAATCAAGTTACTCGCCCACTTCACCAATTAAGTGACTCACCCACCTCATCAATCACGCAACTCGCCCTCCTCACCAATCAAGTCACTCGCCCACCTCACCAATCAAGTGACTCATCCTCCTCACCAATGACACGACTCGCCGATCTCGCCAAGCAAGTGACTGATCCCTCGCGTGTCCTGCTCAATGCTCACCCCTCACGTGTCCCCCTCACCCCTCACGCATCCCCCTCACCCTTCTCGTGTCCCCCTCACCCCTCACGTGTCCCTCTCACCCCTCAGTGTCCCCCTCACGTGTCCCCCTCACCCCTCACGTGTCCCCCTCACCCCTCACGTGTCCCCCTCACCCCTCACGTGTCCCCCTCACCCCTCACGTGTCCCCCTCACCCCGTCACGTGTCCCCCTCACCCCTCACGCGTCCCCCTCACCCCTCGCGTGTCCCCCGCACCCCTCACGTGTCCCCCTCACCCCTCACGTGTCCCCCTCACCCCTCACGTGTCCCCCTCACCCCTCCCGTGTCCCCCTCACCCCTCACGTGTCCCCCTCACCCCTCACGTGTCCCCCTCACCCCTTCACGTGTCCCTCTCACCCCTCACGTGTCCCCCTCACCCCTCACGTGTCCCCCTCACCCCTCACGTGTCCCCCTCACCCCTCACGTGTCCCTCTCACCCCTCACGTGTCCCCCTCACCCCTCACGTGTCCCCCTCACCCCTCACGCGTCCCCCTCACCCCTCACGTGTCCCCCTCACCCCTCACGTGTCCCCCTCACCCCTCACGTGTCCCTCTCACCCCTCACGTGTCCCCCTCACCCCCTCACGTGTCCCCCTCACCCCTCACGTGTCCCCCTCACCCCTCGCGTGTCCCCCTCACCCCTTCACGTGTCCCTCTCACCCCTCACGTGTCCCCCTCACCCCTCACGTGTCCCCCTCACCCCTCACGCGTCCCCCTCACCCCTCGCGTGTCCCCCTCACCCCTCAGTGTCCCCCTCACCCCTCGCGTGTCCCCCTCACCCCTCAGTGTCCCCCTCACCCCTCAGTGTCCCCCTCACGTGTCCCCCTCACCCCTCACGTGTCCCCCTCACCCCTCACGTGTCCCCCTCACCCCTCGCGTGTCCCCCTCACCCCTCAGTGTCCCCCTCACCCCTCAGTGTCCCCCTCACGTGTCCCCCTCACCCCTCACGTGTCCCCCTCACCCCTCACGTGTCCCCCTCACCCCTTCACGTGTCCCTCTCACCCCTCACGTGTCCCCCTCACCCCTCACGTGCCCCCCTCACCCCTCACGTGTCCCCCTCACCCCTCACGTGTCCCTCTCACCCCTTCACGTGTCCCCCTCACCCCTCACGTGTCCCTCTCACCCCTCACGTGTCCCCCTCACCCCTTCACGTGTCCCTCTCACCCCTCACGTGTCCCCCTCACCCCTTCACGTGTCCCTCTCACCCCTCACGTGTCCCCCTCACCCCTCACGTGCCCCCCTCACCCCTCACGTGTCCCCCTCACCCCTCACGTGTCCCCCTCACCCCTCACGTGCCCCCCTCACGTGCCCCCCTCACCCCTCACGTGTCCCCCTCACCCCTCACGTGTCCCCCTCACCCCTCACGTGTCCCCCTCACCCCTCACGTGTCCCCCTCACCCCTTCACGTGTCCCCCTCACCCCTCACGTGCCCCCCTCACCAGGTGTCTCTGCTGAGAGCTCATGCTGGTGAGCACCTCCTTCTTGGGGTCTCCAAGCGCTCCCTGCCCTACAAGGAGCTGCTGCTGCTGGGTGAGCACCACACTCACACAGACAAAGGTCCCCCGTGTAGCCTCAACAGACTGTTGGGGCAAGTGCTGTTAGCGAGGAGCACCTGTGAAGGCCGGCACGGCGCACGAGGGGGTGGGTGGCCCAGCACCACGCCCCGGTTCACCGTCGTCTCCCCCCAGTGGCGGTGCTCATTTGAGGCTGAGTCGGCCTAGGGGAGGCCCAGGACCGCTTCAGATAAATCCTCAGGGCCATTCGGTTTGTAGTGCAGCGTGCTAACCACTGCACCGCCGCTCTTCACAACTGCCGTGCGTTCGCCGACGTGGCCGTTGCCATGCGTGAAGTGTCGATCCCGTTGCCGTGCGTTCATCGGCGAGGGCGTTGGCATCCGTTCACCGGCAAGGCTGTTGGCATCCGTTCACCGGTGAGACCGTTGCCATGCATTCACCGGCGAGGCCGTTGGCATCCGCTCACTGGCGAGGGCGTTGCCGTGCGTTCACCGGCGAGACCGTTGCCATGTGTTCACCGGCGAGACTGTTGCCGTGCGTTCGCCTTACCGGGCCGCTGCCGCGCGTTCCCCACCGTCCCGGCACAGGCTCCGAGGCGGTGATTCCCAGGAACTGCCCCGAGCAGGAGCTGTGCCGCGTCACGAACCGCGTGCTGGACGAGCTCGTGCGACCTTTCCGCGACCTCCAGCTCGACGACGCGGAGTTCGCCTGCCTCAAGGCCATCGTCTTCTTTGACCCAGGTGAGACACAGGAACTCCTGGACCCCGGTCCTTAACTCTACGGCCCTCGCCAGCCTCTACGGCTCTCGCTGGCTACGCCCATCCCCGCACTCTTGGCTCCAGCACCCGTGGCTTCCTGTTAAAGCTCCCAGTCAACCTTCGCTCAAAGGGGGGCTGCCGATTCTCCTCTGGTGACCCCCATAGTCTGGAACTACCCCCATCCACCCACCCCACCACCATCACCACCACCCCAGCCGCCTCCTTGCTCCCTGTTCAAATCCAAGCTGAAGAACTCCCTCTTCATCTTCACTCTTCATGTAAAATACACCCATTGCCACCCGCACACCTGTAAACAACAACAACCGGCGATGGCACCGCAGAGCCTTTAGTGCCAGGCTAGGTCCAGCTTGGGGTTATCACGTGGCTTGTGGAAGGCTCGCTGCAGGCAAGGGGTCATGGGGCACACACAGGTGCCATGGGTTGACCGACCGAGACGACTGGCAGATGCACCACCCGGTGGTACATGTGGTCAGTGGTGAGGCTGTGGCGAGGGTGGGGTGGCGAGGCTGTGGCGAGGGTGGGGTGGTGAGGCTGTGGCGAGTGTGGGTGGCGAGGCTGTGGCGAGTGTGGGTGGTGAGCGCTCACCCAGTGTGCGTGACCTCGCTGTTGTTGCAGATGCGAAGGGATTGAGCGACGCCGCTCGAATCAAAGCGATGCGCTTCCACGTGCAGGTGAGTGACGTGCGCGAGGGTGAGCGACGGTGGCTGAGGGTGAGTGACTGGTGAGAGACCAGAGAGTGAGTGACCGGTGATTGAACTGTGAGACTGATGACTTGGTGAGACTGGACATTGACCAATGAGTGACTCATGCTCGCTCACCCCAGGTGCTGCTGGACTACATGACTAATCCATGTGCGTGCTCACCCACTTACCCGCTCGCCCGCTCGCTCACCCCAGGTGCTGCTGGACTACATGACTAATCCATGTGCGTGCTCACCCACTTACCCGCTCGCCCGCTCGCTCACCCCAGGTGCTGCTGGAGGACTACGTGACTAACCTGTGTGCTTACTGACCCACTCACCCGCTCGCCCGCTCGCTCACCCCAGGTGCTGCTGGAGGACTACGTGACTAACCTGTGTGCTTACTGACCCACTTACCCACTTGCTCGCTCGCTCACCCCAGGTGCTGCTGGAGGACTACGTGACCGACCGCCAGTACGAGAGCCGCGGGCGATTCGGCGAGCTGCTGCTGCTGCTGCCGGCGCTGCAGAGCATCACGTGGCAGCTCATCGAGCAGGTCCACCTCCTCCGCCTCTTCGGCGTCGCCAAGGTGGACAACCTTCTGCAGGAGATGCTGCTCGGAGGTACGGCGGAGGGGCGGGACCGTGCCCGGGCATCGGAGGTTTCAGTCCGTCCTCCTCCCGTCTCGTGAGGTGGCGTTATGAAAGGGCATCACCGGCGAAAAATACGGCAGAAGCTGCCGCGCAGCAGTGGCTCGGAGATGTTAACTCCCTCGCCTGGTATGCGGGAGGTCGTGGGTTCCATCCTGACCCTGGCGGTGTCTCTCCCCCCCCCCCCCCGTGGTCGCACGGATTTTTCTCCGGGTCCCCCGCTTTTTCGAATCAACATCATGCGTTTTGAGCATTTGGCTGCCGCTATCAATGTGCACGCGGCGATGATAAGCCACTTTCGTTTCGTCGAGCTATCGTTAGCAATGGCCAGGGTTGCTTCCGCAAAAGAGCTATATAGCGGCTCCAGCGGGACCTTTACCTGCTCAAGTAAAAAGGACACCGCTTTAATGGCTTCCCTCTCGCGGCCTCTAACCCATTTCGCTTTTGCGGCTTCCGCGCCAACGTTTGATTGAGGCCACGCGGCTCGCCGACCGCGCCTCCCCGCCCCGCCAGATGGGAACGGCGGTCAAGAATAATAGCGACGGAGCGGCAGCCGGGCAATGGTCCGTGTCCCGACGGGAGGGCGTTCACGCGGGCGGGAGATGGGGCGGTGGAATCGGTCAATTTGCTGCGGCTTGGAGCAGCGGGTCGGCAACCGGCGGCTTTGGAGCCGCGTGCGAGTGCCTCCTTGGCCGCCCCCTTGCGGGCAGCCGCTGAAAAAAAAACTAAAAATAATTCCAATCTCAGGCGTAAATTTAAGCTGAAGTTCATCGGCGGTGTGTTAAACACAACAGGGAATGGGGCTTGTGACTATGGGATGTCTTGTCGACAACACGATGCAGTCAAGCTGTGCGATTGTTAGAGAATAACTGAGGGGGGGGCAATAGCGAAATAGACGCTGTTTATTGCATCACCTATTTTTGTTAATTGTGGTCGGAATTTGTTTCTCGTCGGCTGCGTACCCGCTTTGCTGTGTGTTGTGTGTACAAGTTGCTGCCTGTGTGACGCGGCTCTCAAATTACTTTGTCTATTCAAGTTAGAATGTGTGGCGTTGTCGCCGGCTGTGTACCCGCTTTGCTGTGTTTGTGTGTACACAAACACAGCAAAGTGTACAAGTAGCTGCCCGTGCTAAGACACAAAAAACGGCTATTCGTCTTCTTCTGCTTTGAGAGGTTGCTGACCCCTGGCCTAGAGTAATGGATGGAGGAGGAGGAGGAGGGGGGGGCACAAGAGGAAGATTGCTGCTCAGGGCGATTCCAAATTCAGTTGAATTTGGAGTCACGGGTTTGGAGCGCGACACGGGGGGAGGGAGCGGTGGGCGCAGCGGTCGGCATGCCGGCGGCCGTGAACCCGGCGACCTGCTGCGGTCGATTCTCGGTGAAGGCCAAACACGAAGTGGCCGAGAGATTATCCTCGCCGGTGCCGGTGTAGCGGTTGGGCGCAGCGGTTAGCGCGGGCCCGGCCTGCTCGCTCGCCGACGTCGCTGGCGAATATCTTAACCGGTCCTGGGCCTCCCATAGGTCGACGTAGCCTGAAATGAGTACCTGGTTGCAGTGCGTAGTGAATATCAGCACCGGGGAGGCAAAGTGAGGCCGGGCGTGGTCGCCGGCCACCTCACCGCCTCATACGCCGTACCGGCGCTCGCTAGCGGCACTTGCCCCAGCGGTCTGTTCGAGGCTACATGGTGGGGGGGGCCGGGCCTTTGTCTTTGTGCGCGTGCAGGAGTGACGGCAGACGCTGCACCGGCCGGCCAGGCGCCCGCTCACCCTCAGCTGCTGCCCCATCTGCCTCACCTGCCTCACCTGCCCCACCTGCCCCACCTGCCCGCTCACCCCCCTCACCAGCAGCAGCCGCTGCCCCCTTCCCGCTCCCCAGACCCCCCGCATCACTTCCTGGGCAACTCTGGCAGTGGGCACCCGGTCATCATCAGCAACCCCATGGCCACGCAGCACACCATGCAGCACACCGCTCACCTGTGTGAGTAGATGCTCACCACTACCATGCAGCACACCACTCACCTGTGTGAGTAGATGCTCACGACACCGTGCAGCACGCCGCTCACCTGTGTGAGTAGATGCTCACCACACCGTGCATCACACCGCTCACCTGTGTGAGTAGATGCTGACCACACCGTGCATCACACCGCTCACCTGTGTGAGTAGATGCTGACCACACCGTGCATCACACCGCTCACCTGTGTGAGTAGATGTTCACCACACCACGCAGCACACCACTCACCTGTGTGAGTAGACGCTCACCACTACCGCGCAGCACACCGCTCACCTGTTTGAGTAGATGCTCACCACTACCACGCAGCACGCCGCTCACCTGTGTGAGTAGAGGCTCACCACTACCACACAGCACACCGCTCACCTGTGTGAGTAGATGCTCACCACTACCACGCAGCACACCGCTCACCTGTGTGAGTAGATGCTCACCACACCGTGCATCACACCGCTCACCTGTGTGAGTAGATGTTCACCACACCACGCAGCACACCACTCACCTGTGTGAGTAGACGCTCACCACTACCGCGCAGCACACCGCTCACCTGTGTGAGTAGACGCTCACCACTACCGCGCAGCACACCGCTCACCTGTTTGAGTAGATGCTCACCACTACCACGCAGCACGCCGCTCACCTGTGTGAGTAGAGGCTCACCACTACCACACAGCACACCGCTCACCTGTGTGAGTAGATGCTCACCACTACCACGCAGCACACCGCTCACCTGTGTGAGTAGATGCTCACCACACCGTGCATCACACCGCTCACCTGTGTGAGTAGATGCTCACCACACCGTGCATCACACTGCTCACCTGTGTGAGTAGACGCTCACCACTACCGCACAGCACACCGCTCACCTGTGTGAGTAGGTGCTCACCACTACCACGCAGCACACCACTCACCTGTGTGAGTTGACGCTCACCACTACCACGCAGCACGCCGCTCACCTGTGTGAGTAGAGGCTCACCACTACCACGCAGCACACCGCTCACCTGTGTGAGTAGATGCTCACCACACCGCGCAGCACGCCGCTCACCTGTTTGAGTAGACGCTCACCACACCACGCAGCACACCGCTCACCTGTGTGAGTAGACGCTCACCACTACTACGCAGCACACCGCTCACCTGTGTGAGTAGACGCTCACCACTACCACGCAGCACACCGCTCACCTGTGTGAGTAGATGCTCACCACTACCACGCAGCACACCACTCACCTGTGTGAGTAGACGCTCACCACTACTACGCAGCACACCGCTCACCTGTGTGAGTAGACGCTCACCACTACCACGCAGCACGCCGCTCACCTGTGTGAGTAGAGGCTCACCACTACCACACAGCACACCGCTCACCTGTGTGAGTAGACGCTCACCACTACCACGCAGCACACCGCTCACCTGTGTGAGTAGACGCTCACCACTATTGTGGATCTCACAGCTCACCTGTGTGAGTATATGCTCACCACACCCTGCATCACACCACTCACCTGTGTGAGTAGATTCTCACCACACCACGCAGCACACCACTCACCTGTGTGAGTAGACGCTCACCACACCATGGAGCACACCACTCACCTGTGTGAGTAGACGCTCACCACTACCATGCAGCACGCCGCTCACCTGTGTGAATAGATGCTCACCACACCACGCAGCACACCACTCACCTGTGTGAGTAGATGCTCACCACACCATGGAGCACACCACTCACCTGTGTGAGTAGATGATCACCACACCGTGCAGCACACCGCTCACCTGTGTGAGTAGACGCTCACCACCACCATGTAGCTCACCACTCACCGCTACAGCTGGTGTCATGGTAGCTGGCTGTTAATGCTAAGGCGCCTCTGCGTGTCTGTGTGTGTGTCTGTGTGTGTCTGTGTGTGTGTCTGTGTGTGTCTGTGTGCGCGCGTCCGTGGGGAGCAGTAGTGGAGCGGTTAGTGCGCTGTGCTACGAATCTGGCGACCCAGGTTCGATTCCCTCTCACGGCCAACACCAGTGACGATTATCTAAACTGGTCCTGGGCCTTCCCTAGGTCGACTCAGCCTCAAATGAGTACCTGGTGCGATGCGTGAACAACGCCACTAGGGAGACAAAGGCGGCCGGGCGTGATGCTGGCCACCCACCCCCTCGTGTGCCGTGCCGGCCTTCGTAGGTGCTCGCTAACATCACTTGCCCCAACAGTCTGTTAAAAGCTACGTGGGGGATCTTTTGTCTTTGTGTGTGTCTGTGGTGCGTGTCTCTGCGTCGCAGCCACCCCGGACACGCCGCTCCCGTCTCCTCCCGGGAGCTCCCCCCCTGGGGGTCCCGACCCCTACAAGATGAGGGGGGGAGCCCTGCCCCACGAGGGACCCCCACCCTCCCCATCCTCCACATCCCACACAGTGCTCACCAAGCGGGAGACTCAGTGACTCTGCACAACAGTAGCACACCAGCTGTACACGCCTGCATGAGCAGTAGCACACCTGTACACACCTGCAGTAACACACCTGTATACACCTGTACAGGAATTCCCCGCTATACATAAGGGTTCTGTTCCTGAGAAATGCTACTTAACTCATGAGCAGTGGCACACCTGTACACACCTGCATGAGCAGTAGAACACTTGTACACACCTGCAGTAGCACACCTGTACACACCTGTACAGGAATCCCCCGCTAAACATAAGGGTTCTGTTCCTGAGAAATGCTACTTAACTCGAAATAACTTAAAACGAACTCTAAATTCCCATAAAGATGTTAAAATAGGGGGTTGCGTTCTTAACCGACATTTCAGGAATAAAATGCGTGACTAAATGTCATGAAGTTTATTAAAAAAACCCATCAGGTAACATGGATTTAACGAATAATAATTACAAATAATTAGATAAAACTTACCAGAGATGGTAAAGCAAAGCTTATTGATCGACGACTGTGGAGTTACGCAGACGAAGGCCACGCATGCTTGCAATATCGACAGCCTTTTCACCTGCTTTATAACGATTTGAAACGTCTGATTTATCGTTGAGATTCTTTACCTTTTTTTCTTTTTCTTGCCAGAGGCGCTATCATCATTTTCCGTGCATTTTGCACTCACCTTTCTAAGGCCTATGTACTGTTAAAAAAAACTATCGCCGAACGCGACATTTCTAGCTAGCCACGCTCGCTGCGATCACACAAGATGGCGGTCTGGCAGACAAGGAGGTCGGATCACACGTTGGAACGATATTCGGTGGTACGCGAATATTCGCCTACCGTGCGGTATTACATCGCAAAATAATAGTCCGTGTGCGTTCCGAGTTTTAACAATGTTGCAAACATTTTTGGCGCAAATATATATATTTTTGATCCATAATAGAGGTTTTCTTTGGGCTAGGTAGCGTAAATATATAAATGCGTCTTTAAACGCGCCACCACCCGACACAGCCAATTAGTAAGGTTTGCGATGTAAACAGAACGTGGCCAATTCGTGACTTAGCGCAGCACTAACCGGTGTGTTGGAGAGCATATCCACAACATTTACAATCTGAGTACGACGTTCCGCCTGTAATTACAACCGGCATCATCAGGCGGCAGCCAGATGTGTGGAGAAATCCTCCTGTTTCGTTCCTTAAATGGAGGGGTAGAACGAAGCAGGAGGATGTATCCACAAATCTCGCTGCCGCCTGACGATGCCGGTTGTAATTGGTGGTCAAACGTCGTACTCAGATTGTAAATGTTGTGGATTTGCGCTCCAACACACACCGGTTAGTGCTGTGCTAAGTCACGAATTTGCCGCGTTCTGTTTACGTGACAAACCTTACTGATTGGCTGTGTCGGGGTGGTGGCGGGTTTAACGGCACACTTATATATTCACGCGCTCTAACAAAACAAGAAACCTCTATAATGGATGATATCGGTTGCGAAAGCCTACGTGCTGATATATATATATATTTTTTAAGCAACGCGCATGCGAAACATTACTCTTATACGGAAATGTGTTCCCTTATTAATCGGCAATTAATTTTCAGAACAACGCATGTGTACACACCTACATTTGCTGCGGCACACCTGTACGCACCTGCAGCAGTGCACCAGTACACACCTGTGGACAGTAGCCCCACTCCTGTACACACCTGCAGCAGTGCACCAGTACGCACCTGTGGACAGTAGCCCCAAACCTGTACGCACCTGCAGCAGTGCACCAGTACACACCTGTGGACAGTAGCCCCACTCCTGTACACACCTGCAGCAGTGCACCAGTACACACCTGTGGACAGTAGCCCCACTCCTGTACGCACCTGCAGCAGTGCACCAGTACACACCTGTGGACAGTAGCCCCACTCCTGTACACACCTGCAGCAGTGCACCAGTACACACCTGTGGACAGTAGCCCCACACCTATACGCACCTGCAGCAGTGCACCAGTACACACCTGTGGACAGTAGCCCCACTCCTATACGCACCTGCAGCAGTGCACCAGTACACACCTGTGGACAGTAGCCCCACTCCTGTACACACCTGCAGCAGTGCACCAGTACACACCTGTGGACAGTAGCCCCACACCTATACGCACCTGCAGCAGTGCACCAGTACACACCTGTGGACAGTAGCCGCACACCTATACACACCTGCAGCAGTGCACCAGTACGCACCTGTGGACAGTAGCCCCACACCTATACGCACCTGCAGCAGTGCACCAGTACACACCTGTGGACAGTAGCCCCAAACCTGTACGCACCTGCAGCAGTGCACCAGTACACACCTGTGGACAGTAGCCCCACTCCTGTACACACCTGCAGCAGTGCACCAGTACACACCTGTGGACAGTAGCCCCACACCTATACGCACCTGCAGCAGTGCACCAGTACACACCTGTGGACAGTAGCTGCACACCTATACACACCTGCAGCAGTGCACCAGTACGCACCTGTGGACAGTAGCCCCACACCTATACACACGAGGAGTTGCAGCACACCTGTGCAAGACAAAGATAAAGGTCCCCCGTGTAGCCTGAACAGACTTTTGTGGCAAGCGGTGTCAGCGAGTAGCGCCTACGAAGGACAGCACGGTACACGAGGGGTGGGGGGCAGCGCAACGCCCGACCGCCTTTGTCTCCCCCAGTGGCGATGTTTACACACCGCACCAGGTACTCATTTGAGGCTGAGTCGACTTAGGGGGAGGCCCAAGACCGGTTCAGATAACCGTCACCGGTGTTGGCCGTGAGCGGGAACCGAACTCGGGCAGCCGGGGTCCGTAGCGCGTGGCGCGCTAACCGCTGCGCCACCGCTCCCCCGTGCACACCTGAGCAACACCTGGCGCCCGACAACACCTACGCTGCCGGAGTGCCCTACAGGTGTGGGAGATCACCTGTACACACTTCACCTGGGGGCATTGGTGGTGCCACGGAGAAGGCTGTGGGGGGTGGGGGCGTGCGCGGTGGGGGGGCCACCAACAGAATACGATTGGTTGGGGGGGGTGGGGGGGGGGCCTATGAGCAGATTGAGTTATTCTCAAATGACCCCGCCACAGGAATGTCAGACGGTCAGAGTCCTCATCTATCGCGGAGAAATCCGGCCAGCCACGGAGCTCTTTCCCGCAGGCCGTCCCGGTAATCGCCACCGCTGGCTCCGTGGGCTTCCAACGGGAGCTGACCACCACCACCAGCAACAACAACAACAATAATGCCTCAGTGTAAGATATCGATTTCTTGACTTAAAAGCTTTCGTGACTGCAGGAATTCATATTCTTGGGTCTTTCGGTAAAAGTTACGTGGATTCTTTGAACCTACCTCCGTAACTTTACCGAAAGACCAAGAATATATCGATTTCTGTTTTGACTGTCATAGGGTTTAGGGCGTGCAGGGGTGGTGGGGGGTGGGGTTGTTTGTCCATACTTCACCACTTTTGGTTGGATAAACTAAAACTCAATCTTGATTTGAAGCTTTCGTGACTGCAGGAATCCATTCTCTTTGTTTTTTTTCGGTAAAGTCATCACGTGGCAGGTAGCAAAATGGAAATAAATAAATCACGACGTTTCGATCGCAACACAAGCAATCGTCATCAGGTGTAAAGACACGGCAGTAGAACTGCTGAACAAGACAGGGCTGCTGCAACACGAGGTTATATGTCGAGGTTTGAGGTGGGCGTCACCCAAGGGTTAAGTGGGCGGGGTCAGAGATGCCAATCTCTTCCTCTCACGCAGCTGCTGTGCGTGCGACGGGACTCCTTTCCACCTCTGACCCCGCCCACTTACCCTTGGGTGACGCCCACCTCAAACCTCTACGTATAACCTCGCGTTGCAGCAGCCCTGTCTTGTTCAGCAGTTCTACTGCCGTGTCTTTACACCTGATGACGATTGCTTGTGTTGCGATCGAAACGTCGTGATTCATTCTTCATTTTTCTATCTACGCGACTTCACCGAAAGAACCAAAGAGTATAAACTAATACTTTTTTATTTTATTTTACCAGGTAAGGCCCACTAAGCGACCTGGCCATCACAAATGATAGCTCACACGCGGTGGGGTCATCATCATCATCATCATCATCGTCGTCGTCGTCGTGCGGACATTCATAGCAGCAGTCAAATTCTCGCGAAACGCGTGACGCTGACTCTGAATGTGGAGGGGGGGGGGAAACCGGAGTGACCCGGAGACAAAAATCCACGCGACCACGGGGGGGGGGGGGGGGGGGGGGGGGGGGGGGAGCGAGAGAGAGAGAGGGAGGGAGTGATGCGCCACCACCACGGACTGGCTCCGATATTCCGGGCAACGACAAAGCGCACACTGCGCTAACCGCTGCGCCACCGCTCCCCCCCCTCCTATTCTAGACGGATGAGACAAAGTTTCCGGTGTTGCTTCTGCAGCAGCTGCTGCACCTAGCCTGGCACAAGCGCCGCGGTGGCGATTGGCTGCTGCTGCCGCTGCTTGCCCAAGGTGGTTGATCTGGATGTCAGGGCCGATGCGTTGAGTAGCATCGTCCATCGGAGATGAATCGACAAGAACAGCAGCAGCAGCAGCGGCAGAAACACAAAAAAACAAATCTTAATCTTAGGTAAAGATAATTTATTTTGAATTGATTTGTACATACGGAGAAATTTAATATTTTTTTATACATATACGGATACATATAGTCCCCGGTTTAATACCTTCGCCAATTAATTGCAAGATTGCCCCTGAATTTTACTGCGGCTGGGGACAGCTGTGTCCGGGGGGATGGGGGGGCTGGGTGGGGTGGGGGGCAACGTTCATGTTTGTGGGGAGGGGACGTGAGGGTTCGTGATTCGGAAGGGCGTTCACGTGTGTGGAGGGAGGGGTTCATGCGTGTGGGTGTGTTTCCATGTGAATTAAAGATCCGTTGACACCCGTGCGCGCCTGGAGTCTCCCGTCGCAATTGTAAACGTGGCGCTGGGGACCCACACCGCCACGAACAACTCCCCTCCGCCACCCATCGTGTGTCGTGCCGGCCGTCTTTTGCAGGTGCTCAGCTTGCCGCTCGCTAACGGCGCTTGCCAGCGACAGTCTGTCCGCGCTGTACCGGGGGACCTGTGCCTTCGTCGTTCTTTCGTGTCAGAGATCGCGCCTGTGGGAAGCTCAAGCAACTATGGGGCCTAATCACGTTCGTTGTTCTTACCGCGCACCTCCGATTGGCACCGGTTTAGGATACGTACGGTGCGAAAGAAGTTGAACGCGCATGCACACGTGCATACGCTCTGCCCCCTCCGATGTTTGGAAAGCCGCTGGGAACATAGCATTTTTAAATCTAGATTTAAAACTCTTTTCTTTAGAACTGGTTTTCGTGTTTAGTTTTCCTTCCCCCCCCCCCCACACACCTCTGATTGGCACGGCTTGGCTACGTACGGTGCGAAAGAGGTTCCACATACATGCCGCATATACATGCGAGCAACATGGGAAACCGTTGTGGTGTGAAAGTAGAATAGAATCGGGGTCAGTGACGCCGAGGTGCCTGGGATCGGGGGTGACAGCCACGTGTTATGAAATGGACTTCACAAGCCCGGCGGAGTGAGATTCACACGGCAAACATTTTTTATTATTTCACCGGGAAAGGCCCCGCTGAGCTACGTAGCTTTTAATTTTTTTTTAGAATCGACTTGGACATAAACGATAGCCCGACGAAGTGGCTCGTCACGTGGTAATGGAAAGGCAGCGGCCGAATGTCCCGCACGTCGCTTCTAAATGTGGAGGGAACAAACGGACGCGGGCAAAATACACGCGACCACAGCGGGGGGGGGGGGGGGGGGGGGGGGGGGGGGGTTGAAACACCACAAACTCCAAATACACAGCAGCAGCAGCAGGCGTCAGGGTCCGGAGAGAACCCACGACCTCCTGTGTACCAGGCGAGGTAGTTAACATTTCATAGCCACCGTGATGATGATGAGACACGCAAACTCCAAATATACAGCAGCAGCAGGCGTCAGGGTTGGGA